GGGGGCGGGCGGCGCGGGGGGCGAGCAGGCGGAAATGCGTGCATGCGCGTGTGTGTGTGTGTGTGTGTGTGCGGGCGCATCGGCGGCCGCGCGGCTGGGCACCGGGCCCGGGGGAGCAACGAACCGGACCAGGGGACCGACCGGGCCAGGCACTCCCACAGGAGGACCCCCGCGGCGTAGATGTCCGCCGGGAGGAAGGCCTCCCGGTCGAGGGCCACCGCGCGCTGCAGGGTGACGAAGATCTCGGGCGAGGCGTAGCGCGCGGTCAGGGCATTCAACTCCGGCGCCTGGTTGACGAGGACCGACGACCGGTCGGTATTGAGATTGCGACTGGTGCCCAGGTCGCCGAGGGCCGCGCGCCAGCCGCCGTCCGGGCGCCGGCTGGCAAACACGTTGCCCGGCTTCAGGTCGCAGTGGGCGATGCCGTGCGCGTGCATGGCCTCCAGCCCGGAGGCCCACTGCTGGCAGATGTCCAGCACCTGGCAGGAGGTCAGCGGGATGTCCGAGTGCAGCAGCGTGCCGAGGTCCGTCTGGAAGCACTCCATCACCAGGCCCGGCGGGGCTTGCGAGTAGCCAAACAGCCGGACCACATGGGCATGCTCGCGCAGGAGCCACATGAGGGCCACCTCATTTTGGAACATGGCATGGTGCACCGGCTTCATGGCTTGCACCTTCATGCGCTTGATGGCCACCACGTCCGGGCAGCCCAGTCGGCCGGAGATGCCGGCCCCGACGGCCTGCGCCGCGTACACCGACGCCTGGGCCCCGGCCCCGAGGGCCGACTCGGCCAGCGGGTGGAAGTCCGCGGCCAGGTCCACCAGGATGGCCCCGGGCAGGGCCAGCTCCATGATGGTGTTCAGCATGGTGGCATCCCCATCGGCCGGGTCCGCGGGGGGGGGCTTCATGCGGGCCCGCCGGCGCACAAGCAGCAGCAGCAGCAGCAGCAGCAGCAGCAGCAGCAGCAGCCCCAGGCCCAGCGCCAGGCCGAGGATCAGCCCCAGCCGGCCGCCGGCCTTCCTCGGTGGCGTCAGGCACTCGGCGACGGCCGGCCCGACGCAGGCCGCGCAGGTCGCATGGCAGGGGCCGCAGGCCGGCGGCATGGCGGCCAGATCGGCGAAGAACCCGGCCGGGCATTCCGACACACACGCCCGGCCCAGGTGCAGGAGCAGCCCACCGGCGCACCGGTCGCAGGCGGCCACCTCCGGACAGGTGACCGACCCGTCCGGGTGGCCCTGGCAGGCGGGCTGCCCGGCGCCGGCGGTGCACTGCTCGCAGCCGGCCGGGCAGCCCAGGCAGACGCCCTGCCAGGGGGCATGGCCGGCCGGGCAGGCCCCGACACACTGGCCGAGCTCCCAATGGAGCAGCCCCAGGGCGCAGGCCGTGCAGTGGGTGGCCTGGCCGAAGCAGGCGGCGCAGCCGCCATGGCACTGGGCACAGGTGGCAGACCCGGCCGGGGCATACTCGCCGGGCTGGCAGCCGGCCGCGCACCGGCCGCCGGACAGGACGAAGCCGGCCTCGCAGGCGGTGCAGCCGGCCGCGCACTCGGGCCCGAAGGCCGCGCACTGGGTGCAGTGCGCCGGGCAGGCCTGGCACTGGCCGGCCGAGGGGCAGGCAGCCCAGCCGGCCGGGCAGCCGGGCCCGCACTGGCCGCTCGGCTGGAGCAGGGCCCCGGGCAGGCAGGTGGCACAGGCGGCGGCCTGCTCGCACGTGTGGCAGGACCCGTGGCAGGCTTGGCACACGCCGGCCTCGGCAAAGCGCCCGGCCGGGCACTCCGGCAGGCAGACGCCATCCAGCAGCAGCCGGCCGCCGGCGCATGTGACACAGTCCTGGGGCCCGGGCCCGGTGCATGTGGCACATGCGCCCCCGCAGGGGAGGCAAGTGGACCCCGACCGGAAGGTCCCATCCGGGCAGGCGTCAAGGCAAGCACCGTCGAGGTGCAGCGGGGCGGACGGGCCGCAGGTGAGGCAGTGCTCCGGCTCCGGCCCGTAGCACGTGGCGCAGGACTCGTGGCAGGTGGCACACAGCCCGCCCAGGGCCACCGACGAGCCGGGGCACTCGGCCACGCAGCTCGGCGCATCCAGCAGCCACCCGCGCTCGCACAGGGCGCAGGTGGCCGCGCTCGCCGGGCAGCTGGCGCAGTGCGCCTCGCAGGGGGCGCACCCGGCGCCCGAGGTGTGGTACCCCACCGGGCAGGCCGGCACGCAGCGCATGGGCGACGCCCCGGCCGGCAGGGCCAGCAAGTCGGGTGCGCAGTCCGGCAGGCAGTCGACCGACCGCACGCCGGCGCACCGGTCGCAGGATGCGTGGCACGGGAGGCACCGGCCGGCCAGGGGCACATGCCTGGCGGCGCAGGCCTGCAGGCACTGGCCGCCCTGGAGCACGGCGCCATGGCATCGCCAGCAGTCCTGGTCGGTCGGGCCGTTGCACGTGGCGCAGGCCGGGTGGCAGGCGACGCAAAGGCCGGAGGCCGCGTCGCGATGCTGGCCCTCCGGGCAGCCGGACAGGCAGCTGCCCGTGCCCGGGCCGGTGTCGAGGAACTCGAGCCCGGCCGCGCAGCCGGTGCACTCGTCCGGGCCCGGCCCGGCGCAGGCGGCGCAGCTCACGTCGCACGGCTGGCACGTGAGCGAGTCGCTGTCGCCGAAGGTCGGCCCCGGGCAGGCTGCCACGCACGACCCGCTGCTCTGCAGGAAGAGCCCGGCGTCGCAGGCGAAGCACCTGCCAGAGGCATTGCACGCGGCGCAGCCGGCCGGGCAGGCCGAGCAGCTGGCCGTGGTGGCCGGGGCCACCGGCGGCCCGGCGGTCCAGTGAAAGCCCACGGCGCACACCTGGCAGGCGCCCTCCTGGCCGGCGCACAGGGCGCACGACCGGTCGCACGCCGCACACCGCTGGGGCCCGGCCAATTCGCCGGGCGGGCAGGTGGCCGTGCACAACGAATCCAAGTTCGCATCGGTCGCCAGGAAGACCAGGCCGCCCATGCACGCTGTACAGGAGGTGGGGCCGGCGCACGCGGCGCACGAGGCGTCGCAAGCCCGGCATTGGCCGTTTCCATCCAGGAAGTGCCGAGCCTTGCAGCCGGTGCAGCTAGTCGACGAGGTGCAGCTGACGCAGGCCGCCGGGCAGGGGACGCACTCGCGAGGCTGGCTCTGCGGCCAGGTGCCGGGAGGGCAGTCCGGCACGCAGGCCCCGCCATCCAGCCAAGTGCCCGTGCCACAGGCGCTACAGGCATCCGGGGCCCCGGGGACCGAGCAGTCCAGGCAGTCGGAAGCACAGGCGTCACATTGGCCGGGCGCCGTCAGGCTGGGAGCATGGCCACTCTTGCAGGATATGCATGTGTGGTGGCCATCGCTGTTGGGCTGGCAATTGTCGCAGTGCTCATGGCACACACAGGCACCGGCGTGGCCCAGCTCGGGATACAGACCGCTGGGACAGGCCTCCAGGCAGGCCTCCTGCTCGCCGGGCAGCCAGATGGCGCATGCCGTGCAATCGGTCGGCAGTGGCCCGGTGCACTCGGCACACAAAGCATCGCAGGGCTGGCAATCAAGCCCGAAGAAGCCGGCAGGGCAATGGGCATCCAGGGAGACGGACGACAGCGTCTGCCCAGGCGCCAGGAGTAGCATGGCCAGGGAGGGGCCCGGGGTGACGAGCGCCGGGCGCCGGGCGATGACCGGCCACCAGAAGCCCACGCTCCCCGGCAGCGCATGGGCCGTGGGCCATTGTGTGAAGGTGGCCGGCCGCAGGGAGCAAGTGCCGGCCACGCCGTGGGGGCAGTGGAACAGCGAGATGCCCACAAAGGAGCGCCCCAGCAGCACCAGGGCCGACGGGAAGGCCGGGTGCTCGTACAGGGGAACGGCCTGGAAGCGGGCCTGCAGCATGGCGGCACCTGGCGGGGCTGGCAGTCCCGCCGGCAGGGTGCCCAAAACCTGCTTGGTGCTGGGCAGGCCGGTTGATCGCCCGGCCGGGTGCATGTCCTTCGGGACCTGGAAGATCACCCACTGGCTGTCGTGAAGGGCCGCCAGCACCAGCTCCTGGCTCCAGGGCGCGTCGGCCCGGCGGAGGAGCACCGGCGCGAGGTTGAAGCCAGCCGTGTTGACATCTTGCAGGAAGTCCTCCCGGAGGGTGGCCAAACGAGCGGGATCCCCCAGAACCAGGCCCATCGGCCCGGCGGTCGGTCTCTTCTGCGATTGGGCGAGCACGAGCCAGTCGCCGAAGCTTGGACTGGAACGAAAGGTCCCGACGGTCGGGAGGTATGCCAGGCCTGTGGCGTCGGGGAAGTGGTGGACAACAAACTCCCTGCTTGAGGCAATGGCCTGGAGAACCCGGTACGACTGATCGCCCGCCTGCAGGAGGATATGCTCGGCACTCATGCGCCAAAGCCCCAAGCAGCCCTCCTGAAGGAGAAAGGTCGGCTCGAGGAGCCGCTGGTCCACCGGACAGGCCGCCATGCTTGAGCAGCCCAGCCACGCGTGATACACCTTGCCCATGCTGTCACACAGGACCATGGCCATGATGCTTGCCCCGGCCGATTCAAAGGGGCCAGCCTCGGCGAAGGCGGCCATGGCCGGTAGGTCCGTGAAGTCAAAGAGGTCAACCGGAGACGGGGAGGCCTTTTGGGGGTTGCCAATGTCGGCGGCTGGCATGAGGAAGGTTTTGCCCGCACCGGTGAAGAGCAGCACACCGGCATGGGGGTCGGGCGTCATGGAGGGAATCAGGGCGAAGGGCCAGCTGCTCGAGGGCTGAAGGAGGGTCGAGCCCATTCCAATGACGGTCATGGTGTCAAGTGGCGAGGGGAAGACCTCCACCTGGGGCATGTGGAGCTTGGCCGGGGGTGGCGCCGACCAGCTTGGCTGACAGGTGGCCAGCCCCTCTTGGAGGAAGCCCGCCGAGCATTGACTGACGCAGATGGTGCGATGGCTGGACGAATCGACCTCCAATAGGTAGCCCTCCTGGCAGACGAGGCAATTGGCCGAGTCGCAAGTGAGGCAGTGCGCCATCGGGCAGGGCTGGCATTCGTGGTCCGTCCCGAGGAAGGGCAGCTCGTCTGGCAGCCGGCGGGGGGAGGGGTGTTAGTGCGGGCGCCGCTTGGGCCAGCGCTGTCCCGGGGGCATTGCCTGGCATGCCCATGGCATGGCCAGGCCGAGGAGGGGGGCCCCGCGGCGCGGGCCACCGGGGGAGTGGCAATGAACCCGCGACAAGGAGAGAGAGCGACCGAAGGAAACCCCCGAACACATGGGAGAGGCGGGTATGACGCACCGTCCGGCCGCTGGAGGTGGTGCCCGGCCCCGCAGCCGACGCAAAGCTTGTCGGCCACCAGGAAGGGCGAGCCAACTTGGCCCTCGACGCAGCCCCATCCCAGCGGAAAGGGCGTCTCCATGTTGGGCCCATTGCACATGATGGTCCCATCGCCGGGGCACAGGAAGGACTCCGAATCGAAGAGAACCTGCAGAGTGCCGGTGGTCAGGGCCCAGGTGCTGGCCGAGGCGCTGGTGCGCAGCCGAGCCAGCTGCAGCCCGGCCACACTGTCAACCAGCGGTGGGAGAACCAGCCTGCGCCAATGCAGGACATTGTTTTGTACATCCACGCGAAAGGCCACCGGCGGGGCCTGACCGTCGGAGAGGACATAGAAGTGCCCGAGTGGCGCATCCATGGAGACGGCTGGCGGCGCAAGGACGCGGGCATTGGCGGCCGACAACTCGCCCGGCAAAGGCGCCCCCCATGATAGCGACGCCTCCAGGTTGGTGGCAACACACTTGTACAGTCGCACGGTGCCCCCGGCCAGAAGGAGGATGACATCTCCGGACTGGGGGCAGTCATCTTGCGAGGAGAGGACGCGTGTTGCAACCACCTGCAAGACGTCTTCGGAAAGGGGATCTGATTCGATGGCGAGAAACGGGTCATCGGAAAGGATGATCGAGTAGAAGCAACTGCCGGAGGCCAAGAAAAAGCGCCTCCCAGGACATGGGGCCGCATGCACGGGCATGGTGAAGGGCGATAGCAAAGACATCTTCGAAGAAAGGGCGGCCCCGGAAAATAGAGCCACATATAGTGTCTGGGTCTGACCTGGCTCACCTATCAGCCCCAGGAGTCCGGCCTCCGACTCGGAGTACGCCGCCCCGGTCAGCAGCCGGACTTCCGGCGGGGAGAAGTCCACGACGTCGTCACCGGTGAAGAGGGCAACATGGGCGGAATTGTGTTCCACCAAGAGAGGAGCAAAGTTGTCCTGCCGGGGGAGGAACATGATCTCGCCGTCCGGGAGCCTGGCCGGCCGGGGAGATCCAACTACATCAGTGCGTGTGGGGTCCAGGAAACCGCCCCAGCGCATTTCGGAAATCCCACCGATCGCGTCGTGCTGCATGTGCACATGGAATGTGCTGCTGTCAATGCGTGTGTAGGCCACTGTGGCGCGGCCACCCGGGGTGAGCAGGGTGGTCGGGCCAGAGGCCGACAGTAGGGGATTCGCGGTCGCATGGAGGTAGACGCCGGTGGCCAGCAGGGCCGGGGCCTGGCCGAGGAGAAACAGCACCAGGCACAGGACCATCGGGCGGAGGGGAGGCAACCGGGGGTGTGGCCCGTGGCGGCACCGCCGAGCACGTCGCCCGGTCGCCGGGCCCTCGGGGCCAACCATGAAGCGCGAAAGAGGGGGGTGTGCGAGGGGTCCGGGGGGG